ATACGACCTGTTAGGAACCCCTGCTCTAGGGCTCAGTCCAGTTGGCTGAATGCTTAGGAAATCCTTGTGCTTTGCACAAGACCTTGGTGGCCAAGTCAAGAGCATCATTATAGAATCATAGTCCCTTCCAACCCTAATTTTCTATCGAGTGCAATAAGAGTGTCTTTGCCTAAGTCTTCCCTAACCCTAGCTTCCTGCCATGGACTGTGCTGGGGCAGAGGAGCCTATAAGGTAACAAATCCACACCACAGGGGAACGGCTGGCAAGGCAGGAGGGACACCTTGGCAGAACTGCCATTTGAAGGAATATTAATTAGCAAGCAGCTAGTTCTGGACAATTGATTCTCAACTCCAGATGTTCCCATTCTGACTAAGTGCTTTAGCAAAGTGCTTAATTGATTACTATCTTATGCACTTTGTGTGTGCGCGTGCGTGTGTCATCGTGATAACTGTCAGGACTGCTGAGCTAAAGGGAATGTCCTGAATCCAGGAGTGTGTCTCTCCTATTTTCAATTATGTGTTTTTACTTTATGGAAATACAGGCTAGGTTTTAAGAGAGCTTATATTTATTACAATGTACAAGTATTTTTATGACTAGTCATTACACCTGTATTATTTGCAGGTGTTTCTATTTGCTCACCCAAGTCGGTACCTTGAATGTGTTTGTGTTTATTTAAAGGAGGTAAAAATGTAAACTTCTGTTTCTTTTGGACCTTCATGTAAAGGCTTGGAGGGTGCAGGAAGAGGCTGAAGAGTGTTTATAATTCATTTGGATAAAATCAAAACCAGCTTGAGGTTTTGCTCCAAGTAACTGAACCAGACCTGAGGCGCAAATAAATTGGTTCCAAACTTTTCCCATTCTTTTTCTGCACTTTGAATTTCCACCAAGAGCAGCCATCTCAAGCTATCCAGGGAGATGGCTCTATTGTATCATTTTTTGCTCTTGTAGTAGTATCCGCACGGCAAGGTTAGGGAAGCTGCAGAGCAAAGGTAACAGCTGAAGTTGGCCATGAGTTTAGAACATCCTGAAGACCTTGCTTTGGCTGCTAGCTGATGAATCAAGGGACCCCTTTTGCTAAGAACTTGCTCCATCTTCCAGTGAAATCACTGAGAATCTTTTATCCTTTGACTTCAGCATGAATTCGATTTGTCTCTTAGAGACGGTGAACTATGGGCCATGATTAGAAAGTTCTTTTCCCATTAAATGCTGATCTAAGCTCTCACACAGTAGTTTTCTCACTAGTATAAATCCATTGATTTCAGCAAAGATATTTCTGACTTCATGGATGTGAAAAGAGAATCAGACTAAAAACCTGGGTGGATTTTTACTTAAGCCTGTTCTGAAAATAGTAATAAATTTAGCCTTGACAATCTGTGGGTTAGGAGCCGTTTAATATATAAACCACAGTTTTCAGAATGGGCATACCTCCAGTGAATAGCAGTGTTTTCCTCAGAGACACAGGAATGTTTCATGTTTTCTTTTGCCTTTTAATTTCTAGGATCCAAACCAATATACTTCCTTCTATGCTAAAAACCTTGCAGACACACAGCCAGCATGCAGACCTGAGCCCTGCTTTGGACCATTAGAAAAGTGGGGATTTTCTAAGGAAAGAAAGAGTTTTCACTCAGGCAAAAGGTCCAAACATCTCGCCTATTTTTAATGCTCTTGTTACAGCTTTGCTCGCTCACTTGTGCAGGTGCAACTCATTGCAACAGGTTCTGTGCAGAAATTGGCCCATTTTTACGTGTGCCAAACTATCCAGTAGCAGGATCAGTTCTGGTACGTCCCCATCTCTGGCCTCCCATGCCCATGGCTTACACTACCTTAATCCTAGTAATTATGGAGTTCAAGCTACAGTTTTAGCTGCTGGCTACACTAATGAAAGATGTTGCGTTTCTAGTGAAAGACACAACAGTTGAATTTGGAGAAGTGTCCACAATGCTTGGTGAATCTCTGCTCGTGTCTGAAAATATGCCTCAGACTCATAAGAGAACCTGCAAACCAGACGTCTCTCTGGTTAGGTTGGAAACACCACGGCTAAATTAATCTCCTTTGGTAATTCACCTTAACCCCCTGAGTCAGATGGGAGTAACTGCCCACAAAAGGATCCCGGATGTCCTGGCTTCCTTTCCAACACTTTGCAGTCAGAGCCTGAGTGAAAATCCACTAGCTTCAGTGGGATTTAAATCAAAACCTAAGAGCTGCAATCTAACAAAAAAGAAAGCCACAAGAACTCCTGTATGGCCACACAGAGCAGGCTGTAGCATGGTACGATTGTGCCAGACTCGCAGGCCAGAACCTGGGCATTAAATCCAGGGCTCTAGCATGGGTAGTCTGAGGCATTAAGTACAGGGCAGGGCCCTTTTTCTGGTCTGTTACTTCACAAGCCTGAGTGACAGATTGTTCTTTCGTCTGACAAACTCTCACTCCAAGATAGGAGATCGATGAGAGCAGTCAGGCATTTAGAGTGGAGTCTGAGAGCCTCTTTCACTGCGGTTTGGGGCTTTGCAATAATAATTAGGTCTTAAAATGTGTCACTTTTGCAAGCAGAGGCCGGAAGTATGTTTCCGCAGGAGTGTGCGCATGTGCGTGTCTTGGTAGCGTCCGGAAAAGAGCTAAATACTATTGCAGCTGTGACCCTGTATACCCCTCTGCTAGTTTTCAGACTACGGTAGCAGGGTCCCTGCTATCTGCTAACATGCACTATCTTCACAGCTCCTGGCTTTTGCAAAATCTTTCCCTGCAGAGCTGCAGCCTGTGCTGCTGCAGGAAAGGCAGCAGGGAACATATATTCAGAGACAGGGGCACTTGGGCAGCAGGCTTCCCTTCCTTTCAGAGGAGCTGGTGGCTATAAATTGTCATTTACATTGGTTAGAAAGAACAAAGCTTCTTCCAAAACAGCACTTTTTACGCCTGTCTCACTTCCGCATGTATTTCAGCTGCCTCCCCTCTCTTGTCTGAAACATGTCCATGCTTGTGAGGAAAGGTGAAGGGAGCTCAGCTTATTTTTCCTAAGGGAAGTGGAGGTCTTGAGGCGACCTCAGAAATCTGCAAAGTTAGAGGCAGGATGGATGGTTGGCATGGCATGAATTTGGTGCTGTCAAGCTATGGCAAGGCTGCAATGATGGTCCCTCTATGCACTGGGAAGCCTGTCAACGTGCTCTCTAGGTTCAAGTGTGGCTAGGGCCCAATTAAACATGTGTCTGATTTCTTCAGACCAGGATTTAGCAACACGGAGCACAGGGCGAGGGTCAAGCATCAAAACAGCTTTGAAAAAGAAATTAGGGCACTTGAAACATTTTGAAAGTTTCGAGATATTTCGAGTTTCAAAGCAGCCTGGTGGTGAGAGGCAGGGGAGCGCCAGGGCTGTGCTCTGAGTGGCTCTGCAGCCCCATAGAGCTCAGCATGGCAGGGAGCCTGGCGTTGGGCATGGGCTGTGCCCAGTGCTGATCCCAGGCAGCAGTGGCAGCCTCCTGTCATCCAGCACAGATCCGGGGGCTCGAACCCCCAGAGAAGTTGAGCACAGTCCGGGTGTGGGCCCCTGGATCTGCACCGGGATGACAGGAGGCTACCGCTGCTTGGGGCCAGCGGCAGCATCTGTCTTCCCCAATGCTGGGTGCGGGCTGCGCCCAACGCCGATCCCAAGCAGCAGCGGCAGCCGCCTGTCATCCGGCACAGATCCAGGGGCCCGCACCCCCAAGGGGAGTCCAGCACAGCCCTGCAGCCCTCCTGGGGGTGTGAGCCCCTGGATCTGCGTGCCGGATGACAGGAGGCTACTGTTGCCAGCAGATTTTGCTTTCAAAATTTGAGGTGCAGTTTCCAAGAAACCTCTGCACCTATCTCCTTGAACTCTGGCAGGCTTCACGCCCTCAGAAAGGTCTGCCATCCCTGCAATTTGCATCTGAATCACGCAAGGAATGACAATGTTTTAGGCATTTTCATGATTCCCCATTATAGTCTATGGGCGAAATGTTGAAATAAGCTGAAACAGCGAAACAGTTTTGACAAAACAAAATGGGACAGTGCTTCAGAATGAAACCAAACAAAACTGTCCCGTCAAAAAGGTGAAATGGACATTGAAAGGATGGTGTTTCGCACAGCCCTAGTAACTGATTCCTTAGTTTAGCCAGGGGGTAGCTCTGCACATGTAAAATATTCACTTAGTTTTTTGGGAAAGGTTTGAAAAGCCCATGCATCCCATTTGGGAAGCACTTGTTTTCAGTATTCAGCTTTGCATTTTGGTACCCAGCTGTATGACACTTATGCACTTATGCTCTTGTAAACAGAATTTCTTCTATGGTCCTAGGCAATTGAATCACTAAAACTGCATCACCACTTGTCATAAACCCAATGGGTACCAGTCTCTCCAGATGTGTTGTACTGAGAGGGTACTTCAAGCTTCCCTCCTAGAAGAAAGCAGCAATGCAATAGTGCTCTGTCTCAGTCCTGATGCACCAGTGCAGCCTCACTGAGAATTAGGTCAAAGCAAATGAAAAGCAGGAAAAACTTTGCAGCTCAGGGATTCTGTAGTCAGGGAACAGAACTGTTTTTCACAATATTAGATCAAATCCATGTCTGCATCTGTCCCTTTAGCATGTGGGATGTGGAAGCTGGAGAACCCTGAAGGAGGGAGGAAGGGACCTGAAAAACCCAATGCTTTTGGTTGCTATTCAGCAATAGTAATTTCCATGCCATGTTGGGACCCCTTTCCTCTACCACCCCCTCCACACACATACACACACACCCTTATGTCTGGAGGCTGCTGGATTTCAGCTGGACTTTAAACTATAGCCTCAGCCCCCTCAGGCTGTGAACTTGTCAGACCTTGTAACATAATAGCAACAGAAGCAAGGCTGGGGCTGCTGATTACTTGGGTAGGTGACCTGGGGAAGAAATGAGGGATCCCTGGTTACAAGAGCTTGAGACTCAAGAGCTCCATTCTTTCTGAGCCGTGGTGTCAGAGGCAGTGCTTACACTTTCGCATGCAGCGTTGAGACAATGTCTGACCGTAGTCACTGAGGACTACAGTCCTCTACTGTGGTCACTGGAATATCTTCAGGAAGGAGAAGGAAGGAGGTGTTTGGGTCCAGTGTTTTGGTTGGATTTTCAATTTAGATAACTGCACTTTGTGCTCCCCCAAAAACCCTTGGCAGTTCTACTCCATTTCTTGTCCCAAGTGGTTGGGTAACATTGCCGTGCCCTGTTAAACAGCTGGCACCTCCCACCTCAAAGCTGCTTCTCAGTGATCAGAAGTGATTTTTGTATGCCCTACCTTGCATTTGGTGACCCTCAGCTAGCACCTTCCTCAGCTTGTAGTCACAGTCCCCGGTGTCCTTGACAAACATAGCTCAGCAAAGAGAAGTGGCTCATTTCTACTGACCTGTCCGGCAAAGACCATGGAACAGCCTGGGGTGGATACTACAGGTACTCCTCACTTAACATTGTCCCAATTAACATTGTTTCATCATAACATTGCTGATCTATTAGGGAACATACTCATTTAAAGTCGTGCAATGTTCCTTACAACGTTGTTTGGCCGCCGCCTGCTAATAGGTAACTACTGCGATGTAATTGGATTTGCTTAACATCGTTGCACTTAGTCGCATTTTTCAAAGACGTAACTACGCCGTTAGGTGAGGCGTACCTGTACGAGGAACCAGAGTCCACCTGTTTAGAAGGAGCTCAGTATGATATTGCTTGTACTGCACCTGCCAAGACCTGACAGGCTGATAATGAGACTCTGCCTCAACACAAAAGGGAAAGTAATTTACATAGATTTCGCACCTCTGGCAAGAAGGAAAAATCCTGCTCCACTTTAGTGTGAATTGGAAGCAGCGTGAAAACAAGGATGTGCCCCCACATCGGGAGTGCTGGGGGAGAGGGAGTGCACAGGCTTTACACTCTGTGCTTGAGCAAGCGCATGCAAATGCGAGTTGGAAAACACAAGAGGGGAGAGAGAGCTGGGTTAGGAATTAGCATTCTGTCCTTGGCAGCTCCTTGGAGCAGGTTTCCAGCGAAGTCCTGAAGGATTGCTATCTTATGAGGAGCAGCAGTGCTCACCGATTTCATTTTGCTCTGTTTTGCCCAGAGCTCCTGCCTGTGCACCAGCTCCTCCAGTCCCTCGTCGCAGGATGAACATCAGCAATGAAACCAAATTGTCCTAAGTTTTCTTATTGTGTTGTTCCAAGATGCTGAAGGCCTCCTGGGGCCTGCAGGGCTAGTCTCACTCTGAGGCAACGGGGATCTCGGAAAATACTCCTACAGCAGAGTATGTGGAAGTGGGAAGATAATCCAGTTGGAAGCTCTTTCTAACCGGTAGAGTAGAAAGTCATTTCCCAGTCTCCCATTGCCTGAGCTGCTAGAAGCATTTGCAGTGGACTTTACCATCAACCCTGACAACACAAGAGCACTAGCATGGTCCAGGATTGATTTTGCTTGTAGTTTTATTAAGAGGCTAAATTATGGATTTGTATGGGATGGTTTGGATAGAAATGATTCTGCCTTAGGCAGGAGGCTAGACTAAAAGATCTGTGGAGGTCCATGCCAGCCCTACTTCTCTATAATTTCTAGGCAGTCTTCCACTTACAAGCACATAGCCAGAACTCTGAGCTTATCATATCTCACAAGCTGAGCACCAACCAGGGTTCTCTGAGGTCTGAACTTCAGTGGGAGACCTCCAAAGAAACCCAGTGATGATGGGAAGTCAGTGGTGGGGCATGCCTTAGTGTGATGAGGGGTGTTATACTGTGGGACATGTGCTTTGGGACTCTCGGATGGAAATTGCTACACGAAAAGTAAATGTAATCCCTACCTCTCCAATGTGGCGTGAACTTAAGGGTCTGATTCTTGTCCACCTGTGGTTTTTAAAAGCCTTTCTGCATGAGTGGAGCTATTCAGCGTGGCATTTTTGGACAGATTTCAATCTGGAAGGGAATTACATTCTGCTTCCTGAAATTCTTCTGGGACCTCCGTCTGTGTACCGAATCCTTCTGAATTTCCAACCCAGAACTTTACTTAGGAAGATGGTGGGTTTGCGCTTGAGCAAAGTAATTCCTATGGAGAGCTCTATACTTTTACTTAAGTAGTTTATGGTTTTCTGTGGACTAAAGACATTGTAGATATGCATAGAATATTCTGCTTAAATCCTCCTACACCTCTCTCCTTTTCCTTGCACCATTTTCCTTTGGCAAGAAGGCTGCCAAATAAAACAGACCCTTGGTTACATGGTAATGAGCATCGCTTTAAGTATAATTCTTTATTTACTGGTATTACAATAATTTCCAAAATGCCAGTCAGGAGCAAGACTGTGTTAGGCGCTGTAAAGGGAAAATTAATTAAATAAGTAAAAGGAGACAATCACTTCCCTGAGGAGTTAAACATCAGTCTATAAATAGATAACCTAATTTCTCCTTTAAAAGACATATAATTTAACTGCTTTCCATGTAACAGCTCAGCTGGTATAACATTAGGGGGGTGAATAGGAACAAGGAAAATAACTATTTAAGATAAAGGCTGATATTGGCAGAAGAACAAATGAGCGTAAGCTGGGCGTGAATGAGTTCAGGCTGGAAGAAAAGGTCCTAACCCTCTGAGCAGTGGGCAACCCCTTCAGATAGGAGGAGTTTGAGGTAGCCAGTGTTTAAAATGGAGCTTGAACAGCTGATGTAAGGGATTCTCTGAGGTAGTGCCTATAATATCAGTGAGCTTGATGACCCTGGGGAGTCTCTTCCAGTCGCCTACCCTAGGCTAGGGACAGAAGTTACATGTAACCTGGTTTACATGTTTGGAAACTGGTTTAAACTAGTAAGAGAAAATAAGTTCAGTGCACATAAACCAGTTTCCAAATGGTTGAAACTGGTTTAAGATAAACCTGGTTGAATGTAGCATCAGACTTAACTGATTTGGGTCAAACCGGTTTATGACACTTCTATCCCAGACCCCTTCCTGGTTCAAGTAAAATCACAGTCCCCCAGCATCCCAGCATGCTTTTCAGGCCTGGGCTGGGCTATGCTGTTTGCTCCAGAGAGCAGGGCTGGCCCTGCCCCTCTGCTCCCTAGCTGGAGCAGTGAGGGCAGTCTGACGGGGGGGTAAACCTGGCTGGGGATGCAACCCAGGCTACAAGGCAGGGAGAACTGCTCACCCCAGGCAAACCCCAGATAGGATCTGGGGCCAGGGAGAGGGGTTAAACACCCCCTCCCGTGCTTAAACTTACCAGTAGCTGCAACTGTGGCCTACAAATCCTAGAGACACCTGGAAGCAGGAAGAGGAAGTGATGAGCAACCCTGAAGAATGCTGCTGATGTAATTCTGGACTGCAAATCCCAGAGACCTCTGGGGCAGCAGGAAGAAGATGTGAACAGCTAGCCAGAGAGCCTGCTCTAGTCCCCCCAGCTTCTGGCCTGAGCCACTGCAGGCATGTGGCTGCATTGCCTGAATGAAAAGTAAATGTCTGTTCACTTCTGTTTCAATTTAATCTGTGTAGTTTAGACTAACCTGCCAAGACCAAAATGATTCAGCCTCAGGCTTTTTGACTGTCTGTACTTAGCCCTAGAGTGTGGAGAATGAGGCTGGCCTTTTTTTCTTTCTTTTGTTTCAGCCAGTAGGACCAGTTTAGTGTTTATTTCCAGAAACAAAAGTGAGAAAAAGCCCAGGGATAAGTGATGTGAAAGAGTCCCTGGAATTGATTGAAATGGTGAAGTTCACAATTCTAGTGTGGCAGTAATTTTTTTTTTTTAATTGTATAATTGTAGCAGGAAAAAACAATCTAGCTGAATGTAAATCCTTCTGAAGGAGATAATGAATCCCCAGGTGACAGATGTTCTTTTGGCTTGTCTGAGCATAACAACATATTTGTGCTGTGGGGAGTGCAAGCTTTGTGTAGAGTTGACA